ATAAATCTTGTTTTTTTAAAATAACGAAACAGAGTTTACTGTTTCCGTGTCACACACATACCATAATGCTGTATATCTACTGAAGAATTTCAACATATTGTGTTTCCCTTCTCATATTCTGACACTCATGAATGAATAGGTTAGGTATGTTGATTCATGTAGGTCATAGGAGTGATTTTGTTACCATATCAAGTTGTGGGAAACATTCTCAAGGCAGTTCTGAGACTTGTTGTGAGTTTACATATACCATTGTTTACACTTTGAAACACCTCGTTCTCAAAAAAGCTCTATAAAATGTAAATGTTTTGTATTATTTCAATCTGAATGTCACCAGTGAATGCAGCATATACATCTATGTGTCCATGTCAAGGCTTGTTCTTGTTATGTTTCTTACAGGTGTAAATCAAACATTTCCAATAAAGGTGCCGATGAGTCAGTATTCCCAGGATTAACTGACAGCAGACAGCGAGTACGGACATGTAGCTCTGCGCCGTGACAGGACAGTTGATGGGGAGAGGCGTGGTGAAGCAACAGAGGCGGATCAGACGGGATGTTTTGAATTCTACCTCACCTGAGCTAAGACTGAGTAGACCGTCTTGTTCATTCTCCCGCTGCTGTTCAGTAGCACAGAGGCACAGAGGGAAGATGAATCTCTACAGGAGCTTTGGAAACCTCATGGAGGCATGGGTAAACGAGGGAGCGCAGGGTTCGGACTCAGTATGGCTTGGAAATAATTATGAAGACCCTTCTATGCGTTCATCTGACGTGGGAACGAACATACGCACAGAATCTGTGGACTCTGGAGTGGAGACAGCCAGCTCTGTCACATCCTTACCTCCTACCCCTTCCTCTGTCTCAGCAGATCATACAGAAATAGACTCTTTTACACCAGAAAGAGAAAGGGACTCAACATCACAGTCTCCTATCCTCTCTTTTCCTGTGCCTCCCTCTTCTTCTTCTTCCTCCCCGCACCTCCGACCCAGCAGAGCCCAGGAGAGCTCCACAGCCTTGGAATTAAAAGTGGAGCAAGCAATAAAGAAGACTGACTCTAAATGTCTGCGGAACAACCCTAAAGACCTCCTCACAGAGGATGTGGTGCTCAGGCGGCGACCTGGAGCATCTTTTGTATCCAAACGGCCTACATCGGAGTTATTAAGAGGTCAAAGGTCGGAGAGTTTTAGCCACTGGAGGACAGCGAACTCAGCAGTGCCCACAAGGCAGTTTTCAGAATCATACAGACGGCCAAGTTCTGCGAGTTGTATAAAGCCGCCAGTTCAGACCAGAACAGAGGTGAGATTCTGTTTATGGTACAAACTAAACTGTTTTAAAATGTCCAAGAATTATGTATTTATTTGCGAAGGGGGGAGCCAAATTTCAGTTTCTGTTTCATGATTCTTCCTTGGGACTAGTTTCGGGGCAACATTAGTTTCACAGTAACATGTATGGTCTTGCAAAACACAGGCTTGTGAATGTTGAAGGAAAGTTCAAACGAAAGTCCCAGAAGTGCTACAAGGCGTCTACTTTTACAGTAGTTAAAGGGTGCCAACAAATCCGGTTGCTCTCAAATTTAAAAGTAGGATAGGCATGTCATTACTCACACACATGCAGGATCTCTTTCATGCTGTCATGAGCCCGTCTGCGGTGCGAGGGATTATAAACCAGTTTGCCCAGGTGACTTAAGCCCCACAGGCACGAGAGGAATGGATGTGGTGCGGGGGAAGCTGAGCACTCTGGGGGGGTTTCCTGCATTATGTGACAGACATGTTGTCAACCAGATGAATGGACTTTTAAACTTTATTCTGACCAACAAAGTAAAAATACATTGAATCCACTCCTCTTCACAGTGCTATATTTTGAAAACATGATTAATTGTTTGGTTTTTATCTTATTAGGTTGTTAATGTTTTCCATTGCCTTGTATGAGGTATATAACCCTAACCCTAACCCTAACCCTAATGACTAGCCAATTATATAAATCTGTACATCTATAAATAAGTCTGTAATTAAATGCAATTATACTTCTAATATTCTCTTCAAAAGTTAATGTGATGTCAGGGAACATGCATAATAGATCATGAGAAACATTGTCAGTTCTAGATTTTCTGTCACACGTGCCGAGGATCGCATTGTTCATCTCAAAGTTGGTCACTAGGTTCATGGGAAGGTAAAAGTAAATGGCATTGCTCAAATTCATATTCTGATATTATAAAGTTGAAACTGTTATACAATAACTATTGTCAGTACCATTTTTTTTGGATAATTATCTCTAATTATGTTGTGTTGTGTTCTTTTCTAAACTAGGGAGTGATAAATAAAGTTATTACAATATATTATATTTGAATATATTTAAGGCTTGGACTGTTTGTCAGATAGAACATTCAACTTAGATTGTGATTGATATTTTGATGACATTCTGCTGATAATATTTGTGTTTTGGCACAATGGTGCTTTGAGCTCAATGCTAACTTAAGCATGCTAAAATGTTCAAAACAACGATACCTTGTGGATGACAAAGCAATGGTTATAATGTTGAACCTCACCGTGCTAACAATTTCTATTGAGTACTTAGCCCACATTATTGCAATTTATCCTGGAGTGTTTGAAGAGCAACATTGAATAACAACTTGTGTACATTGTGTTGTCATTGCATTTAACGCAAAGCTTTTCCTGCTTGATGATGTGTGCAGGACCTTGGTGCAGAGGAGAGGAACGAGCTGAGTCCTGGGCTCCTTTACTTGGAGCAGGTGTGCCAAATGTTAGAAGAGATTGCCAAACAGCAGATGCACAGCCGAGCGTTACAGATGGAGACGGATGCTCTGCGGGAGCATCAAGACCTGGAGGAGAGCCAGGTGAATACCTTAATGTATCACATCTTAGCAAGGCAATTAAAAACTTGTTACAGTTTGCATGGGTTATATTATTAGCATGTTATTGGCTTGTCAAGCTAGTGATGACATTATGTCTTCCTGCTGCCTGAGGGCTCACATGAGTCAAAACCTGATACAAATTGCCAATGACTTGACTTTCTTTCAGGCTCTCGACGCTTGTCAGAGTGACTCTAAACCTTCCGAGGAGGATATCATTTCCTGTGAAATTCAAGAAAGTGCAGAACAAATCTCCAGTGAACCTCAGCAGCGTCGAGATCATCCTTACAGACTTTTTCGGCAGAGATCGGCTTCAGAGACAAATATTTCATCAGTGCATTTAAGTGAGTCAGAGTGCACCATATCATCTACTTTCACCTTTTCTTGTTTTGTTTTTTTCATGGATATATTCTTCCAGTCTTAAAAATATATTCATTATTGTGTGTGTGATTGGTGCAGGAAAGCAGAATGCAGACTGCAGAGGGCAGCATCGGAGTAAAGATGACCTGCTGGAAAAGGAAGAGGATGACCAGGAAATTCAGGTAGAAGACACTCGAATAAACACACATAAATACATCATTTGTACTTAAATACAGCTAAAGCAATAACAGTATTCCATTTGCATTGTTAGAGTGAGTTATATACATTATTTCTTCCTCATAATATACTTTTACTTTTATCAATGCATATTCTATTGTGTCTTTTCAGGAGTCTGAAAAACAAGAGACGCCTAAAACCAACAAGAACTGGAAGATGAAATTTGGCTCTTTCACAGGAGAGTCTTCCCTGAGAGATTCAAAGGGGTGAGACAGTGTGTTTGTAGCTGTGACCTCGAGGGGGGCAGTGTTATTAATCTCATATGATGCATGATGCTCTGAGGAAATGTGTGTACTGTTCCAACATGGCAGCCTGCCACCCTGACGCAGTGGTCCGGAGCTAATGCACAGTAGATGCAGAGGGCTTTTTTGGGGGGAGTTCATTTTCAGCCTGTGCTTCTGTTCCTCCTGAACATTTTGTCCCTCGCTCATGAAACCTTTACATGCTGCTTCCAACTTTCTACAGTGGCCTGCTTTAGCTCTGTTAAATAATTTTGTAATCTGTGCAGCCAACAGATGCAGTCATCTGAGAGAAACTCCGCCCGACGACGGCTGAGCCAGCTGTTCAGGAGGAAGACTACGAAGGCTGTAACCGTGTAAACGGACCAGAGCGTCTGTGTGGATATTTGGGTTTCAATTCTGAAGAGGAAGCTGTTACTTCAGAGGTCTGAGAAGTGACACTGCTTTCGAACTGACTTCATATTCAGCTATTTGGATCAAGCAATTGCCATAGTTTATTTATTGTCGACTGTATTATATTTTTTATACTGATCAATAATGTTTCTTCTACTGTTGTTTCTCCGTTCTTTGACTGCAATATTTGACGTCCAAACATCAAACTTGTTTCTGTAATAAGCTAAAAGATTGGCGAACAAGCAGTAGTAATGCACTGTATAGTAATACACTTGAAAATAACTTTGAAATTCTCCTTCATTTTGACATTGTGGATTTCTGCAAATATCTAATGATATCTTATTAAATATGAAATCCCTGAAATGTCAGAAAAGGCCTGTTTTAGATTTCCAGAGCCCAAATTGCAGTCTGAAAAAGGTTTGATATCTTGACCAAAACCTGACCAAAACATACAAAATACTGCATAATGATTTTACAATGACAAACTTTTTGGTGATTTTTTGATTGATAAATGAGCGGACTGAATTAGGGAGTTTATTGGTATAACTCCCAATACAATGAAAACCATATCTGAACCTGAACTAATTTTTGGAGCATCAAAGCCACGTTCATCTCAATTGCAAAAAAGGGTGCGATTAAGAGATGGCCTTCATGGTTTTTGGTTACTTTCAAGGAGTCTTCACATACAATTTAAGCCCCCCTAAAACCAGATTCATATAACTCGTCTAAATTGAAAAAGGAAAGCCATAATCCGTTCTGTAGCTTGACAGATAAGGCCACACAGATTTCCTTTTATCATTTATTTATCTCTATTGACCTAGGTTGGGGGGATATACCTCCCCTGGCCTTCCCATGTAAAGAGATGTCAATGCAAACACGTCCAACCAAACAAGAGAGGGTGAATAGGATTCCAGTCCATACATAAAATACATTTATTTACTATTTATTGAACCATCAGCATCCATTAGTCCCACATAGCATCCATCTGTGCTATTAAATATATAGAGATAACATCTGTGGAGGGATTTATTTACTGAATGTGTGTGTGAGAGGGGAGTTGGCAGAACGGGAATAGCTTATAGACGAATAAGAGTGGTAGTGGGGAGGGGGAGCGTCGAGTCCGAGTCATGCCTGCAGTGTCCCCCCTTGTCTACATGATGCCACAGGAGGACAAGGGGTTGGCGATCTGGCAGGTGCAGGCTGACTGGCAGTATTGGCGCACAGTCTGGTAGCAGCTGCGGTCGGCCTCCCCCCCCCACTGCACGGGCCCGTTGGGGTCGGAGGGCAAGCGGCTCAGGATGCTGGTGTTGATGGCCAGAGCAGCCAGGCCATAGTCAGTGAACAGCACCGTCTCGCGCCTGCACGTGGGGCAGGAGATGAACTTGTACTTGGGACAGGACTCGTAGAGGATCTGCAGGCACTCCTCACACACCGAGTGCAGGCAGGAGAGGATGCGCGGACGCTTTCCGGCGAAGTTGTAGGTGTGACCGCAGGTGGGGCAGTCCAGGGGCTCGCAGGGCATGACGGGCCCCGTGGAGGAGGACGAGGAGGTGGAGGAGGAGGTGGACGACGAGCGCAGCACGTACTGGTTGACGATGACGTCTTCCACCTTGTAGTGGAACTGGTGGTAGCAGATTTCGTTGGCACTGGTTTTGCGCTGCGCCAGGAAGCTCTGCTCCCTGCGAGTCACGGGCACAGAGGGGGACACCATGGCCCGGGGAGACCCTGTGATGTCCAGGGTCATGTCGCTGCAGGCCTGGTTGACGATGATCTCTCCTTCACCTCCGCCGTCCCACGCCACTCTGGGGGGCGGGGCATAGCGCGGCTGGGTGACGGGCACGGGGCACTCTCTGGGGAACTCTCTGGGGAACTTCTCCGACTGGATGATCTTCACGGTGTCCATGGGGATGGCGACGGGCTGAAATCTGAGGCAGGACATTCACACGTTCTTGGAGGTTGTAGAGAGAGTGACTGCAGCTCTAGTCGGCGCTGGACACCCCCCGCCTGGTTCTGGGTAAGGTGGAAAAGATTAGGCTCTTCCGGTAAAGTCAGCCATTAGAGGGAACATGGGGACGGATGGTTGCCTCCATGTTTTCCTCAGAGATCCCCCCTGGTTTGTGCGAATTCAGCCTGTGTCTTTATGAAGCAAAGACTGATAGAAGAGCTTAGCCAGAGCACCGCAATCTGCAGCTCTTGTTCTGTCACTGCTGATATGTGCAGAATGCAGATGATTTAACAGTCCAGTTTACAGTATCCGACCAGTGTTGACTACTTAAAGGTAGCTTATTTTGTTGTTTTCACTCACGTATGCTGATGTTGCTGTGCAGTCGTCTCTGATGGCTATTTGCAGACACATATATTCACACACAAGGACGACTTTAGCACAATGATATGTTCTCACTCAGTGATGACACTAATAAATAATCTCATATGCACACAGATGCTCACATAAATACATACAGTACAGGTTGGTGTGTTTCTGCATTCACAGCATGGTGGGGACTGAGTTCAGGCAGTACAGAAAGCTCTGAGAGCTATTGTCCCAAACTATATCCTGTGGCCTGCCTCTGACTAGCTTTTACATGTGGTTCTCGCTTCAACACTCGCTTAACTTCCTGTTTTTTGCTGCGGGTGTGTTACATATTGACTTGAGTGCGTGAGAAAGAAAGAAAACTCTCCAGTCTTTTCTCTGCTATTAGTCCAGTTTGGTCAGGTGACCTGTGTGACCCTCTCAGTGGCTTGGTTGATAAGAAACAGAGAGGAGGTTTTTTTGGGAGGTGTCCTTTAATGCTCCAGGAAGCTGTTAGAACGACTCCTTCAGGCTCCAAGGCTCCTGAATTCCTCAGATGTTGTGGTGAAGGGTTTTACTTTCAAACAGTCCTCCCAGTGATGGAGGATGCCTCTGTGCTTGGCTCCCCTTTTTCAGTTAATCAGACTCATACCGTGTCCTCAGGAATCCTTCCGTCCATCCTGGGAAAAGAGTAGAGATTTATAAAATAAATTGCTTTGATAACTGAAAATGTCTCAAATGCCACACAGAGATCTGGAACATTGGAAAATGTTATTAACATGCTAGGTAGAGGTGTGCCATTTCCATTGTGTTTCATGAAAAGAATATTAGCTTTGAAGTATTAGTTTGACTTTGACCTACTGCTTCTGTGTATGATTGATTTGATCTTTCAGAAACTTGGAAAGGATCTATTGTAGCTGAATGAGATGAGTTTCTGATGACAGAGGCCGTCACTTTTGCATATTGGCCTCGGCCCAGGTGTCTTTCATAAAAGAGTGAGCCGATGATCATGTTGACACACGCTTTGTGACTCACCTCTCTTTGGAATAAACACATGCAGTTTGCCACGAAGTCAGAAGATTATGTTGATATGTGTTGTGCTTAGGCATAACAATAACTCTTATGCCTCTTATGTCTGTGATGAGTGCAACTCAGAACATTATGAATTTTTGTTTTAGGGCAGTTCTTAGCAGTAGCGTGGCGTGGGGAAAAATGTAGGGGAAGCCCATTTTTTGGGTCGGGGGGTGGTCAATAACGTAACCAGATGAGTGATTACAGCGCCCGGTATCATTTTACACACATTTGTATCACACAGATGCAGGACTTGCACACGCCTGTTATCTAACCGACAGGTCCGCACGCACTCTCCAGCTGAAACTCTCTCCTTATTAATTTAAGCATTTTACTTATTAATGTATGCAGACAATCACACAATCTATGTGATTTTTGGATTTACCGTGCCTCTCAATTGCCCGTGACAGGTTGGCAAGGTCGATGAATCCTGAAGTTGCCCAAGGATTGTTCAGGGAGCACGAATCCTTGTCAAAAAGAAGACATGGCCAGCAAATTAGACGCTGAAGTTTAGCGCTTCCAGTTAGCCACTCCGTGCGGACATAATTGTCCTCATTGAACGTCCGATTCTCTCCCTCTTCCCTCTGTGTACACAGCTCGAGTGCGGGCATTTGCCTGTCATCTGATTTAATTTTTAGTTGCTGCTGTAGCGGAAGTTTAGTAAAGTTATGTTTGATTAAGTACGCCAAATCTCCACCCTCCATAATGCTTCATTTGCTTGATAATTTCTAACGGCGGTGATGACAGTTACAGTATTAAAACTGATGTTGATGTGATTTGATTGGATGGCAGTGTCCAATCAAATCGCCAGCCGCCAGCCGCCTCTGAAGGGAAGCAAGAGGCGGCTAGCTTCCCTTGGCATGGCCCTGACCAATCACAGGTTGGCAGGGGCATCACGTGGGCCTCATCTGATTGGTCAATCCCTCCATTTTTTTTTCACCAAGGGAAGCTAGATTCGGCTGGCCTCCTCTCGCAACAGTGAGTGCAATCTACTGTTTCACCATAACATCTAGAGGGGCGCTGTTTGTTTCACTCTTTGTAAAATACTCAATGAGAATGGGGGAGAGACGGGCCGGCAGCAACACACAGCAAAGGAGAATTATCGAAACAAAACAAAGTGTTTGTATTTATTTATTTAAATTATAACTACAATCCGAAAAAACAGGGGAAGCCTGGCTTCCCTTGGCCTCCGGGAGAAAACGCCACTGGTTCTTAGAGAGAATTATAAAGATGTTCCCAACAAAATGGCACCAGTGATTGTCCAGTATAACAGAGAGCAGCTTGACTTGTTTTATTCAGTTTAGTGAAGATTATTAGTGATGTCCATAATTCTGCATGTGAGCTCCCAAAATAACTACATTTCGATAATGAATAGGCGCATTCACACTGCGGTACTTTTCCCACAAAGGTTCATGTGAACTTAGTTCATGAGAACTCTTTAGTTCTCATGAACTAAGTACAGATCGCGTTCACACTGGAAAAAGTCCCTGGGGGTGGATTAGGCAAATGAAGCCGCTGACGTCACTTGTTCTTCTTCTGCTTTGGGTTTACTGGCAGGCCGCAAACCACTTCACGGCGTATACTGCCGCCCAAAGTCCCCGGCCGGAAGTCCCCGGAGTTAGGGACTGGCTTCAGTAGAAGCTGCTGGGACTCCCAGCAGCTTCTACTGAAGCCTTCCGAGTAAATTGCCAGAACGCCGACGCCTCCTCATCTCCACCACTCCCATGTTTTATTTTGTGTTGCCATAAGTTAGTCTCTCTGCGTTTCTGCGCTGGGTTAATGCTAATGCTAATAATGCTAATGCGAGGATAATAAAATGGCGGCTTCACAAAACTTTTTGGGAGTTTTACGGGGCGTGGTTTGCAATCCTTCCAGCCAATCAGAAATGTAGCTCTTTTCTCACAAAAGAGCCGGGTAAAAAGGTTCACATGAACTAATTTTAGTACCGGCTCTTTTTGGTGTGAACGCGATAAAAGAGTTCACATGAACTAAGTTCACATGAACCTTTGTGGGAAAAGTACCGCAGTGTGAAAGCGCCTATTGGTTCAAAAATAAAAACTGTTTAAAATGTGATAGTCATTAAAGTCAGCCACAGTGTGTGGTGAGAGCAGGTGATTGTGACACATGTTGCGGTCCGGCTCTTGTTGCACTTGCTGCTTCCTGTCAGCACGTCTTTAGTTGCGTCAGTGCGAGGCTAACATGTGTGGGAACAGGTTACACTCTGCATTCAGGGTTTCTATCGTACTGTGTGTGGGATTATGAAAAAGGATCAAGTGTATTGATGGAGTTTTTTTTTTCCTTGACCAAAACAATAGCTGCCAACCAGCAGAGGAGGGAGGATGACACATCTTGTATTCTCTTCAAGGCTGTCAACAGTGATGATTCATTAGAGAGAGAAAATAAACCGTGCAGAGGAGGTGACCTACATGGCGATGAGGAGAGGGAGAGAGAAAGAGAGGAGGGCTGGTCTTGGTTTTCTATTTTTAGTTTGTTTATCTATGCACTTCTCAGAGGTTTCCTGTCCCCAACCCCTGCTGAAGATTCACCCCGACTGAGAGAGATGTACCGTACAGGCGGAAGTGCTTCGGCTATTACTTCCACGTGATGCAACAAGCCATATTGGGCAAGCAAGCAGACATTTGTTTACCCCCTTTATCCTCTCTCAATGAATCTGTTGACATATTCGTACGCCCCAATCTCAAACACACAGAGCTGTTAGCGAGAATCACTCACAATCTCACCAAATGTGTTCCTCCAGTGCTGCAACTCTTCTCTCAAAATAGCCTCTTTTTCATCCTCTCACACACGCAGTATGCTTCATACACGTTCTATAAAGATGGGGATATGTTTCTGGGGAGATGATTGGTGCTTTTAAAATATATTTATGCAAAACATTTCAGAGAAAAAATCTGAATGAATGTGTGATGGCCTTGGTGCAAGCATTCATAGTGCATTCAAAAATGAACAGCAATAACTCGATCTGTATGACCAGAAAAAGACAACATTGTCATTATATCACAATGTTATAGTTGAATCTATATGAAATCCCTATACGGCAGATGACAAAAATAATCAAATTGATATTCAATGCAATGACTGTGTTCCACTGTTTCTACAAAATTCTACATAAAACATTTAACCTATTTTGTAAATTCCCTGCACACATTCATTTAAACCTATGGGAAAAAAAAGAAAAACAACACTCTAAATTAAGGCTGCATTTAAAAAAACATGTCTGTAACACGTTTAAGTACCATTACCTTTCTGATCGGATACTGTTTACTTATTCTATGATCAGGATTTTACTGGTTTAAATCCAAGTGTTGCCCCTTTTAGACTGATTCTTGTTTCTAGTCAACATTTAATATGCATACTTTTTTTTTTTTTTTTTAAATCAAAAACGTTTGATTTAGAATAAATATGTTACATAAATAAAATATTTAGTATTTTGGTATTACTATCCTAAATAAATAACTAAAACATCATATAAGCATCAAACTCCTTAAACAATACCATATCTAATAAGTATCGTATATCATATTGATGTTTTCCTAGCTGGGGTTTAATTGAAAGAGTGTTACTTGATCTTTCATTCATTTCAAACTATAAGAATTGATGGATTGAATTAGAGTTAGACAGTTGAAACTGCCAGAATAATATACAGGAGGTACTGTACATCTGCAAAAAGTCGATACATCCTTAATAAGATTTCTTTAAAACTCTCTTATAGCCATATTGGTATTGGCCTCAAAAATCATCACATACCTGTATATTAAACGTCTAGACATACTTTGTGGATATAAACAGTTTGTGTCTGTCTGGTTTTGGACAGGGGTCGATTTGATAAGGCAAACAGTCTGCAGGAGGAGCCTTTGAGCCTGGGGGAGATGAAGCAGCTAAATCTCCCCTCTAATATGGTGACAGTGCTATGAAAAGGGCTGATAACTGATGCAGGCCGCCTGCTGATGGGCCGGTTTGGCGCAGCCTCTCCCTAATCGACAGAGCCCTGTGATTATGTAAGGAGCTCATCTCCGACCCATCCACCATATTAACACGGTGCTGCAGCTCTTTCACAGTCCTCATATAGTGTGTGTGTGTGTGTGTGTGTGTGTGTGTGTGTGTGTGTGTGTGTGTGTTTGTGTGTGTGTGTGTGTGTGTGTGTGTGTGTGTGTGTGTGTGTGTGTGTGTGTGTGTGTACATAACTCTGGATCCTCTCCCCGAACAGGAATTATTACACTAATGAAATCATGGCAGGCATTTGACCTCGTCATCACAAGTGAGAGGAGGAAGAGGAGAGCTGACCACAGGGATGGCCGAGGAGTTTTTCTCAGCAGCAAATTCCTCACACACACACACACACACACACACACACACACACACACGCATCCTAGATCGTTCTCACCCTCAGAAGACTCCCCACCATGTCCTCGGCACCACCCTTTACATTCCAGCGCACACACAAACAAACAGATAAGAGCCTTTAAAGGAATATTTTTAAATGTGTCTACTATCAGTTATGTTACAGATTAAACTGGTACTGACACACACCTGAAGAGAGGAAAACACACACCGCTCCACACGCCAAGAACATTCCTATCCTCTCACACTCCCACTGTGTTGCTCCATCTCCATTACACTCACACAGGAGAAGGGCACCATGTTCTGAATGAGTCAGACCCGGCCCATCAGTCTGTCTCCATGCCTGCCTCTCCCTCTTTTTCTCTCAATGAAGATCTGTCTCTTGCTGTCCATTCATCCATCCCTCTGTCTGTGAGCCGTGTGTTGGTCTCATGGTGCCCCTGCACCACATACCAGCAGTATGTCAGGTATGCCAGCTATGTGGAGATGTGTATCCACATTCATGCCTCGGCCGGTCAAAAGCATCGCTACACATCTCTGATCTGACCCGCGTGGGATATTGTGTTTTGATTGCATAACGTGTCATGACCTTAGCGTGATCTGAGGACAAATCCCCCGATGTGTGTTGGTTGCAGCTCAGGGAAACATGGCACTTGCAGGGATTCAGAGAAATATTGGGTGTTATTGAAAGACCGAGGGATTTGCTTCTGTGGCATATTTGTGATTTGAAAAGTGTATTTAGTGTAGTACTGTATAAATGCAGATGACGGATAGGAATTGGTGTGTTACTTGTTTTTATGTTTCTGGTGTCTTTGTGTTGGTTGTTTTTGTATTATTGCATGCTTTTCTCAATGGGGTTACAATCATTTTTCTAAATAATTGACGATATCTCCTTCACATTCCACATACAGTTGGTTGTCAAACACTATGTAAATGCTAGGATTTAAACACATTTACATGTCTTTCACCTGGATTCAGATATAGAAATTATATTTGTCTGTAAGTGTTATATTTACAGCTGTGATTACATCTAATTGTTCCATAGGCTTCTGTGTGATGACAGAATGATTTTTGCAGGTGCAGAAAGTGCTAAGTTAGTATGTGGGGAGGTGTTGTTTTTAATAATTCAGCCCGATGCCATTCATGGCAGACATCGGCCATTTTGCCTCGCAATTCATTACAGCCAAGTGCTCTTTGTTCTCGTTTATGTTTTACCCACAGCAACAAAGCAGAGCTGCACACAGGCAGAAAACTAAAACGCTATAACCATCATCTCTTTGGCTGACACAGACCTCATAGAACATTCATGAGGAGAAAGGTTTAGCAAATGTCCAGCTCTTCAATAATAACAGTGGCTTGATTGATTGAGACGATTAATTTTTGCTTTAAGGAGCTCTGTCTCAGCTCAGGGTTAAGGTGGATGGCTTTGTTGATATCCTGCGAGCCGAGAATTGGGAGGGATAGAGGCGAGCTGGGCAAAATATTTTGCCTGTGTGATATGGAGCGGCTTTAACATGTGGGAGGGGTGCGTTCAGGAGCAGCAGTTATGCAATCGCAGCATGGTGTACCCAGCACTCTCACTGCAGCGCCAATGTATGGCCAATATGGAGATTCATTGCTGACAGCGGCAGAACAGGCCGTTCCTGCCCTCTGTCCCCATCGCCACCCCCACTGCCTGTCTGTGCAGAGGTCTGTCAAATGTCATAACCGCTGGAGCCATCCTGTACCACATCATCATCGTCTATTCACCGATTGTAACCGCTGTATGCAGAATAGAAGGTGTGTGTCAGTGTCTTGCATCCATGTGTGTCTCTGCAAAATGATGCAACAACCATGTAAATCCCAGCTTAACGAAACAAAAGGCAAAGACCACCTACAAAGACGCCACAAAGCCAACTACACAGAGGATTACATTAGTATGAAAGCCACATGGAGAAGCCACACCTCACAGATATGTAACATACAGATCCGACAGATATGATGACAAACACAGGGAAAAACCTCTTCCCTGAGAAAACTCATGCAGCCCCTTCCTCATCCTCACCTGTCCGTCTACGCACTTGTCTTGTCCCAGTCCTTCCCTCGCTCCTGTTCCAGTTGTTGCTGATGCTGTTGTGTGAAGATAAGCCGCTCGGTCACTTTGTTCAGGGGGGCGTCTCACCGGAGGGAGGATGCTCTCTCCTGTCCATTTGATCCTAGCTGCATAAACGACGTGCAGCACTGAAAGAGGCTAACATGGAGGGGATGTAAGATGGAGGAAGCTGTTACAAGGTGGATGCGTCATGTCTCTGGCTGCTTTGGTCGAGGCTCCGCATCCCTAGTTCCTCTCCTCCTCTCCTCTCTGGCACCTTTGTCCTTCACTCTCCCACCCCTGCTCCTTCTCTTCCCGACAGTGGCTGAGCGTCTCCCTCTGGTCTCTCTTTCTCCATCCCTCTGCTTATAAGCCTCTCAATTTATTCAGCTTGTTCTGTGCAGCGAGCTGAGCTTCTGCGTTGTGTTTCTCTGCATGTACGTCCACTCTTCTGTTCTCGTCCTTTCTGCTTGTCTCTTCTTTCCAGTCTTCAGGTAAACCTCTCTTCTGGTACTTTCCTCTCTCCTCTGCTGTTATCTCTTCTCTTGACTCAGCTGCCGTTCATTACTCCTCTCTCTCCTTCTCCGTCTGCTCCAGCCAGTGCGCCTCTCTGTCACACATGCGCAGTGTTTTCACACATACATACACACTCACACTCTACCTCTCTGGATCTGTGCCTCTGGCTCCCTCCGAATGCATGTGGCTTGTTTTGCCTGCCCACCCCCTTCTGTTTCTCTCTCTCTCTCATACACTCCCTCTCTTTCTCTCTCGTTGCTCTCTCTCGCTGCAGCACACACTGCAGTGCCTCTGCAGGCAGGATCACGTTTTCTAGTTGCCAGAGAAAATATTTCAGCCAATGAGGAACGGTAAGAATGTAACCCATCCTCCCCACCCCCCATGTTTAAGCATACATACGCATACGCATACGCGCACGCGCACGCACACACACACACACACACACACACACACACACACACACACACACACACACACACACACACACACACACACACACACACACACACACACACACACACACACACACACACACACACAGGCTTATTAAAACACTATCATGCAAACAACCCTCTTAGAGCATGGTTTGTGTATAAATATGAAGGATTTGCACCGAGAGTCATTACACTCAATATGCAATATTAATACACATGCATACACACCAACCAGGCTCCACACAGGATGCTGGTGGCAATAGCTGTAATCTGCGAGAGTGCAGCATATCTGACAATGCAAAAAGAGCCTCATTTACTCACAAACGTTCCATTCAGCTGCGGCTGACTGGAGGCTTTTTTGAAAAACAGATCCATCACATTCAACACTGAGAACATGTATCATACTAACGTTTGCACAATTCCAACAAACCGAGGTTCGAAGCAAAAGTGTTAACAACGTTGCAAAGAGGTTTCATTTAGATTCATCCCCTTGGACTTTGAGAAACTTTGATGGACATTTGTCCCATTCTTTTTTTACATTTCATAGATCAAACACTATGCGTGGCACAGCTCATTTTCCATATTCACCCAGAAACATGAAAGCAGCCTCCTATAAGCTCCTATCAAAGATTTACTAATTAATTGACATTGCATAACATAGGATTTTAACAAGTTTTGCATCTATTGACCCAAAAATAATCCTCAGATCAAAGTAGAACAAAACCATGGATGTCATTTTTCAATCAATATAAAAGGGATAACTTTATATAATCATGTAGTCTGTGGCTGCATAGTGTAATGAAGGATAATCTGAACACCAAAAAGCTGCTGTTTGAAGAATTTAACAGTAAGTACTTGCAGAAAACTTGCTCTATTATCAGAGGTTTGAGGAAAACTCACAGTAGGCTATGTGCTCATACTGTAGTTGATGCAATACAAGTTCCTCAAACTCAGGCTATTTAGAGTATTGTTCTTATTTGTATCTGATATGTCTCATTTCTACTAACTGAAATGATCTTCTATTTACATATTAATTTAAAAATAATTCATTGCACATCAGTATTCAAAGGTGTGACACACAAGACCTATTATTGTTCCAAAAGTTTACCTAACATGGGCAAGTTAACCGCTCTCTCACAACTAGCATCAGTTAGCCTTTAAAACTAGCCTAACATTCAGTAACTACACTAACCTATAGTTACTAATCGCAGTAACGTTTCGTTTTGGTGGTATTTACGCTCTGAAAGCTTACCAGGAGTTTTATGTATTTTTGGGCTCTGTAGTCGAGACATTAGCATGGCACCTGGCGCTGCAAGGGTGGCAAGCCTGCTAGCTACTTCAACAGAGCAGAAATACTTTATTATACTCACTCTTTGAGGCTCAAATCGTCGTAATTACGTGGCACAAATTACCTGGTTTTGATGAGAGTTGGAGACTGTGTGAACGAGTGACGGTTCAAGACCAATTTGACTGGGGGGGCCACTGGGGGGCCAGTTATTTTCTGAGGGGGGCACAATAAATGCAGGACGAAAAAGAGAACTAGACAGTATGAAGTAATTGCGCATAAGAAAACAATGCAATACAGTTATTGGTATTTGTTTCAGTACACTTATTTATTTCAGATAGATCTTATAGTTATTACTGTTAGCTTCAGCTTAAGTTATAGTGCAATGTTTGCACTAACACCATATTTATATAAAAATAAAGGCAATGAACAGTTACATCTCTACTTTACATAAGGGTGTCTGCACAATCTCACATTACAGCAACAAAATCCTGCGGTTTTTGGCAAACCGAGAACCAGAAAATATACATTTAAAAAAAAAAGAAAAAAAAACTTTTCATTGTTAGGGGGGCCACAGGGGGGTCATAGGTCAGTGTTAGGGGGGCACTGGCCCCCCCTAGAACCGCCCCTGGTGTGAACCCCGTGGCTTTATGATGACTTCTGCAGGGCTGCGTGCAGCTAGTGCTATTGTAAGCTAGCTCTAGTCAGTAACCTCCACCTATGAGAGGGAATGCAAAATATGTTGTTATCAGCTGATAATATTAACAATGCCTCAGTCCCATTCATTGAATGTTGCAGACAGCAAGTTATTACAGCGAAATGCATTTATACAAGCACCTCCTCTAAGTGTAATGCAGCCATCATCCATGTTGTTAAATATATGGGCTTACCTCTGCTTTTCCTTCTATAACATGAACATAATTCTGCTGTAAGAACCAGGCTTCAAGTCTAGTTTCTAGCTTCTTTGAAAATCATTGAGATTATTATGAATTTGTGAATACATATTTAGTTGCCTAAATTATTGAAAATAATGGCGTAGGCCTACAGCTAACCCCTACTTTCACAATGTAAGAACATAAATGGAAAGAACTTGCAGGAATGCAAATCGTTTTTGTTTAGGAAGACCAAGAGAGCTGTTATTATGATGTATTTTGCAAATGTCAATAGACCAAAACATCACAAACATGTGTGTGTGTGTGTGTGTGTGTGTGTGTGTGTGTGTGTGTGTGTGTGTGTGTGTGTGTGTGTGTGTGTGTGTGTGTGTGTGTGTGTGTGTGTGTGTGTGTGTGTGTGGGAGGTTTTATGGCCAAGTGAACTCAGTTGGCCATAAACTAGGTTTACAGTGAAGTCAAAGTCTTTACATTTTTCAAGTTGTTTGTTGCTTAAATAATTGCCCCATTACAGTCTGAAGGGGTGAAGTGCAGTTCAGAGGGAGGAATAAGGAACTGAAGACATGTGTAATTGTTGAGCTGCAAAAAGACCTGTCTCATGGACAGTGATAGCACAACGTGCCCTGAAGCTTACAGTACTTCTTTCAACAAGGAATGGTTTCTACTTCCTTGTGAGCCAGTTGTCAGCTGAGGCGCTGAGGCTGAAGGAAATGATATGGTGCTTTTAAAGAAAATGGAGATATACATACTTGGTATTGAAAGTTGGAATCTAACACTGGTAAGTAACAGTTGTCATGTTTTTTCAAGCAAAAACCTATGTCATTAGAAGAATTTGAAATATGCTATGTCACATATTCTACAAAAAAAATGCTTGACCAAACATTGGCCATTTTTATTGGTTTTATTTTTACAAAGACAGGAAGACATCCATACTCACACAAAGTCCAAAATGTATACTTAAACAATCCTTTCTCTCTATTTCTGTGAGCCCACTGCACAGATACAATAATAATGGTTGACATGTTACTTTATCGACATCACACCATCACAACACCCTTCTTGGATGAGAGCCATAGACTGAGTCGCCACATATTTGTAGTAATGAGGCCACTGTGCCACTAGGGGGCCACTGTGTCGTATTAAACATTGTATCTTGATTTGTTGTGTTTTTCCTTCATTTAAGAAAAATGCTTTCTCCATATTTCAAAATATCTTAGAGACATTTAGTGGCCAGACGACATTGTCAGCAAATTGTTTGTTTTTATTCTTCTACTATCTATCAGATTAACTTTGTTAGACATTTCAAAAGAATTCATAACATGTGTTGTCTCTTCATTACTCATCACTGTGGCTAATGATGGCCGACAGATGGAGTTTGGTCTCTATTTCTCTGTTGACTGCCGAGAGCTAGACATGCCTAAGACCTTTGACTGTGGTTTGTTGCACTAAGTCACTGGCTGGGGTTAGCAAAATCACTGCAAGACGTATAATTCAGTCAGATATCAAGTGATATGCAGCTTCTAGAGAAAAAGGCAGTCATAGAAGAGAATACAACAGCAGAGAACAAGGCATGTAAGTCCAAGGCAGAAATCATAAATCATTTAACAGCAGTGCACATAGTCAAGGCCTACATTCGTGCACATTAACCACAGAGTTAGTGATAAGAGAGGGATAAGTGAGTCACAATGAGAACGACTTACAGTACATTAAAAAGTTATGTGACGTTTCAGAATTTATTTACCAAGTACATAACATGCATACCTCAGTAAGAGCAGACTTAACCAGAAAATTGAATGTGCAATAAAATAAACTGCAAACTAGTCAATGAACCAGGAGAGGGAAGCAAAGAGAGTCAAACTGTGGAGTTCACAACCATTTTCCCTGAGATGTGAGATTCATTAACACCTAAAACAACATATAGTAAGATGCTTTAACAAGTGACAGCATTTTGTAGACTTTGAGCACAGAAAATGAGAAAAAAGGTCAAATTGGCATTATGTTGAGCATGTGAACTTAAAAACACATACAAACCAGTCAATCAGTGTCTCTTCATATGTAAACCAGAAAGTTAATCAAGCCATAAAGGAGCATTTGTATTCCCAATTTAGAATTTTCCAAGTTTCCAAAATGAAAAACCTGGAAAAATGTCCAGATCTACAGTAGATAAAATGAAATACTTTAACAGTTTTAGACAGGAACATATTTTACAAAAATAAATATTGTGTCCTCGAGACGTTCATTTGCCATACATGGCATGCATACAGTAAAAATGATCCAGTATAGAAGTCTGCCAATGCATTATCTAATTTTACAAGGTTACAGTTCATTTATGCGTTCATAATTTACAATCATATAAAATCCTGTCCCTTAAGTATAATTTATCCAAGAACATTTGCGTCAATGGAGTTTCTTTAACCGTAAAAACCATGAAAGAAAACAGCGACACAAAGGAGGATGATGGCGTTGGCGTTGACGACGTTCCTCCATAGAGGCTTCTCTGTGGTGTCTGTGAGCTTCCTCTGCAGCTCCGCCTGCTCCTCTGCACTCAACCTGGGCGCATTTGTCGGCTCCAGGCCGCAGAAACTCATCACTACCTTCTTGCAGCAGCCAGGATTCTCCTTGGGCTCTGTGATGGAAAGAACAAAGGTGATGAAGCAAATCTGCATGTGTGTTTGTATGTGTTTATATTCAAGGTCTGCTGATTACCATCTATCTCCATATTGTTGGACTCTTGATTGTCGATCCAATCGTCCTTTTCAATGTCAATCCTCTCCTCAGTACAGTTCCTCAGAGTCCAGCACAGTCGATACAACTAGATAACACAACACATGGGTTGAAACAAATTATTTATAAGGTTGGTTTTTGCAGGGACTTCCAGTGATGTTTGGGAGTTATTAAGTATCTATTCTTATCTCGCAAGCGGTCACGTACATGCTTGTCTTCGATGGGTTTGGTCACAAGAGAGATTCCCACGATGAGGATACAGGAGACAACAAACAGAATGATGGAGAAGTAGAGGTAGTGGACTCCACATATGATGGTGGGACATTTACTGGGTTCAACGCAGCTGCCTGTCCCAAAAGCAAACTCTGCAATCATTCTGGAGAGGCCGATAACTAAGCCAATCGTGAGGCCATAAAATGCACCCTGAGGAAAGAAGAAAAAGGAAAACGTTCAGTCTAAGTATTGGCATGACTATAGAGCAATGACACAATGACAAAGCTAACATGCTGATTTTATAGCAAGTGACACACTTACTCTTAGTTGAATGTGTTGCTAACAATTGTTTTATTATGACAAACATATATAAAGGTATTTGACCATAAACTAAATATTTGCCTTTTCTTATCAAGCTCCACATTTGTGGAATCAGCTTCCAGTTCGTGTTCGGGCGGCAGACACCCTATCCATTTTTAAGAGTGCGCTTAAGACCTTCCTTTTTGATAAAGCTTATAGTTAGGGCTGATTAGATTAAGCCCCTAGTTTTGCTGATATAGGCTTAGTTTGTCAGGGGACATTTTACTTCTTCCTTCTCTCTGTCTGTACCTGTGTACTCTCATGTTCCGATTAACCCAGCTTCCCCAAATGTCTTTCTTTTTGGTGTCTATATACGCTGGGATCCGGAGTCATGGATGATCCTGCGGTCCTGTGTCCTGCATCGCGAGCCCTGGATCTTGAGTCGTGGCTGTGGTCCTGGATCATAGGTCCTGGATGGATATCCTCGTGGATTCATCTTCCTATTATACACACATGCATTTCCAAACATTTGGACTACCTATGTTGCAAATGTATTATCTTTTCAATTTACACACGGCATCTATTGCACGTCTGTCCGTCCTGGGAGAGGGATCCCTCCTCTGTTGCTCTCCCTGAGGTTTCTCCCATTTTTCCCTTTAAACTGTGGGTTTTCTCTGGAAGTTTTTCCTTGTACGATGTGAGGGTCTAAGGACAGAGGGTGTCATATTGTCATACTGATATTCTGTACAAACTGTGAAGTCCACTGAGACAAATGTAACATTTGTGATATTGGGCTATATAAATAAACATTGATTGATTGATTGATTGATTGATTGATTGATTGATTGATTGATTGATTGATTGATTGATTGATTTGGACAAAATAAAACAAATCATAACCTAATGCTGATATATGGACATGATTACATTTAATCCAGACGGGGACGTGAATGTGTTCACAAGATTTAATCTAAAGGAAAAGAAAAAGAGTGCAAAAGGAAAAGTCGGCAAAGACAGTAGGCTTCTTCTCTGGAGACCAATTAATGTTACTGCCAAATTTCATGGCAATCAATCCAGAAGTTGTTGAGATATTTCAGTCTGGAACCAACGTATCAACTCAACTAAATGAATCCTAATGAAAAGGAATACTTTTGGGCACAGGATAGATAAAGGTGCATCCAGCAGTCACATAAAATAGATTTATGAAATATACATAATGCAGATTGCAAATAGAAATCGACAATAAATCATGGGCAGGAAGAAGAAATGAGCAGAGAAAGTAAAGCAGCAGCATAATTGAGAGTGAGTTTGTCAGATTATAAAATAGTCCTCACTAGCTTGTGTTAATAGTCTGATGACAAATCTGCTGATGGTGTGCATGACTTCAGTGCTTTGGCTAAGCTAATGTGACAATCATGAGAATAAGAACTATTTCAACAGTTGGTCCATGTTCATGACACCTTTAGAGTATTTTGACCCCACCCCCACTTTTTCAGATCATATGATACATGTTGATTCAGCTGCTTTATGATCAGGATAAACCAAATTTCCCAAGAAGTCCGAGAGCAGTAAGACAAAAGATGTTGCCATGACCTTTGGCTAGTAATTACATAATAACTTTATAAAAGACTGCACTTTAACACACTCAACGCCTTTTTATCCAGGCTAGAGATATGGCTCTAAGGAAAGGTCACATCTGCCGGGTTGTCCACCATTTGGTTAAACACTGAAAAAGCTGAAAAACTATTGAAGGGAGTGCCATGGCAATTGGTACGTTCCTGGTGCCTGAAGCATGACAAAGTTCACATTTGTGGCTTTGAGTGAAATATGAATTGTAATTAGATAAATAGAAATTAGTTTATAGATTTCTAAACAATACAACTAGTACCATTATCGGATAAAAATGTCAATTTGTTCAATATTTTGGTTTCCATTAATAATAAGCTTTATTTGTATAGCACCTTTCATACAAGACTGTTATTCCTACGTGCTTCAGAGTGGATAATTAAATAATATCTCATAAAATAGTCACAGAAAATGATAAGACTCAGTTGCACTTTGTGTTATGTGCTAATTAGCCAGAATAAGCATGAAACACGCTAATCTAAAATGGTTAACATAAACAGTTTACCTGCTTAACATCAGCATGTCAACACTGTCATTGTGAGCAAGTTAGCATGCTGACATTAGCACTCACAGCACTGCGCGTAGTTACACCTTGACAATGCTACTAACATGGCTGGAGGCTATTTGTCTTGTTTATATGCAGAGGATTTTTCTTAAAATTGAAATATGTAAAAAAAAAAAGGAGATGATTGAAGTGGATACTCACAGACTCATTGACGCGTTTGCAGAAGATGGCAAGCATGAAGACAGCTGCAACAGGTGGAGTGAGGTAGCTGGTGATGGACTGGATGTAGTCAAAGAGCTGACCACTCTGGGCTTCCTGCACCACGGGGATCCACGCAATGCTCACACCAATCAGGAACACGATGAACACTCTAAATCAAAGATAGTGAGTCATGTATGATATCTCTCATCATCAGAAATCATAATAAACACACCCCCCAATTGTGTTACCTCCCAGCGATCATGAGTTCCTTTTCAGTGGCTGAGCTGCGGATCTTAGTGTAGATGTCCATTGTGAAGAGAGTACTGGCACTGTTGAAGATGGAGGTGAGTGAGCTCATCAGAGAGGCCATCATCACGGACAGCATGAGACCTCGCAGACCTGAAGCAGATTTTAAAAATTCACTTCGGGAATACCGATGTTTGCATTTTCAGATCATGAGATAAATGTCTTTAGCCACCCACCATTGGGCATGAGTTCCACCACCAGTTTAGGATAAGCGATGTTGGTGCAGCCCACCTTGGCATCACAGTATCTTAGACATTCAATCGGGTCCACACATGCCACCTCGTCTAGAATTACATGAACAATAAGTCATTAAGTGATATTTAAATCCAGCTTTATGTTTGCAATACTTTCATCTTCTTGAGCCTAAATATGTCCGTCACATACTCACCAGTGTAAAGGATCCTGCTGATCATACCGGGGAAAACCATGAGAAACATAGGCAGCAGTTTCAGGTAGCCACACAAGATGCACCCTGCCTTAACGTGAGATAAATTCTTAGCTGAGAGACAGCGCTGAACAATCACCTACAGGAACAAGAAAACACGTCACAAATGGGAAAGATCAGTGGTGCAAAGATCGATAAATAGGTTGAGTAAGTAGATTTGAAAAAAGTCATAATGGAAATAATTAGATTTAGGTTCAATGGATATGTTGCTGATAGTATTTTACTTATAGACTGACTTTTTCTATGTGCTCGATGTCAACATTTAAATCATCATCTACTCTTCTCAGAGATCCAGCAACAATCTGCCTGTAAATCTTATCTCAGTCTCTGAGGCTGTAAGGTCTAACTAAAAGCATGTCTCTCCTCATACAGCAGGCCACCTTAAGAGCACTCGAGTGAGTCTGGCAAAAACAGGCAAGATAAAAGCACAATAATGTGTACACAAATATGTACAATCAATTGAAAGAGCCTCTGTCTGTGTGTGTGTTTATGACCCTGGATTGTGGTCGAGCAAATGCCCAACAGTGCAGCCTGGACTGACCTGATCTGTGCACCAGTACCAGGTGGCCTGAATGGTGAGTCCAAAAACAAGGCCGGGCCATGGCAGGTCTCCTGTGATCGCATTCCTAAAAATATGGAAGGAGTCGGCCCGAGGCTCGTAGCAGCTCGCACTGATGTTAGCTGTTACAGAAGGGACGGCCTCCATGTAGCGCAGCTGGAATTGTTCATAACCTCCGACCTCATTGAGAGCTGCACATAGGTGTAAAATAACGTTATGAATCATTTTTACTCCAACACTTGATTTCACAAGCACCATTTTTATAGTCAAAATGGAAACTATAAACATATAAGAAGCTTAAAATACCATATTACCAAAGCCCATAAGGATGAATGATCCCACAACCATGATGATAGTCTGTAAGGTGTCCGTGTAGATCACTGCAGCCAATCCACCTGAGATAAAATATCATGATGGTTTTAATTCATCCATTTTTTTTCAAAGTGATCACATTTTATCTTCCCTAATTTTGACTTTATGGAGAGAACTGTGTACATGATTTGATCCATTGTTGCAAATTGGGTATTAGGTGTTAAGCTGTATTATAGGCAATATTCCAAGCCTTTTTACAACTCAAGTTGAGGTGTGTATGGGTTATTACAAAACAGCAACCAACAGAAGGCCATTTCCAGCTTATCACAGTTCATGGGTAATTAAGCACAGTAACACACAACTGATCAACGAGACAGGAAGAGAGAGCGAGTGTGTGGGTGTGTATCTACATCTCCATATAAGGTCAATGGAGAAGACTTTACCCCCACTTGTAGCACCACTCTGTTAGGTAAGAATTCTGGGTTTCATTTATGAAGTGAGTGCAATGGAAAATAAAGTGAATGCATCCTGATGGGACATACCTGTGACTGTGTACAGGGCTGTTATCGAAAGTAGCATGACAACAGCCAGGTAGATATTCAGCCCGAGAGCTTGGTTGATAAAAATGGCGCCAGAGAACATGTCTGCCTGAGTGGAGAGGAGAGGAGAGGAGAGGAGAAAACGCATAATTTCAATCAATAACGTACATCTCGTTGACATAGAGATAATCACTAATGATGTGGACACTTACTGAGATCTTGGTGAAAACATACAGGAAGAGAGACAGCACAGAGAGGTAGATGCGAATTCTCTGTCCTCCAAACCTCTTCTTCAGGTATTCAGGCATGGTGACCACCTAAACACATCCATAGTCAATTAGGTTTTGATTGATTTGATTTGAGTCTTTATGACTTTCAACTGCTATTTTGCAGGGCCACTTTCGACTTAAAAGAGGACATACATTTCAAGTTTGCACTTGTAGTTTTGGGTTTCCATCCAAATTGGTTTTCATACAAATGACACATTATTTATGGTCTGTCAGAATATACTTGTATTTAACCTTTGACTGAAAGTCTCTGTGTTAGTGCTTGGTACTTTCAGCTCCATTTCTGATTGTTTTGTAAGAGAAATTGTAAAGGTATTTGTTTTCTGGAAAACCACAAGAAACTTACTGGGTTTTTTATTAGTAAGCAGATACCAAAATAAATGTATGCAAAAGAATGGAAAAGAAGGGGGTTTCATGTTAAGTCTCCTTGAATGATTAAACTGTAAATTAAGTAAATAAATACATGTTTACCATGATTATGAATGCATACTCTAACAGGTGAAGTGAATACATACGTATATGTATACAGTACAAGTGTTTTGTGGCCTGCGTGTTTCGTTTACCCCAGCTTTGATGTAGATGGGCACAAAGAGCCATCCCAGAATGACGACCACAATAAGAGCCTAAAAGAGACAAAAATGCACAACAATAAATAACCAATGCACCATTTCCTTAAAATATTCCTATAAAGATAAAGTTGACTTCTGTTTCCTCCCTGGACCTCCCATGATAATCTTCACCAATCAGCTCACCTCAAAGAGATAACTGATAGTATCTGTCACAGGTTAGAAACACATTTGTTTAAGAGCAGATAATGTTACACATCAGACATTATTACTCACATTCCATTCAAATCCACCAATAGCGATTCCTGAAGCTGCAGCGGTCCCAGCGATTCCTACAAAGTGACCACTGCCAATGTTGCTGGCAAACAGTGATGCTCCAATCTGTGGAGTGCAGAGTTATATTCATAAATCATTTACATCATTTTTTGGTTTTCAGCTAACTGTGCCTTTATTTTTTACAGTATAATTGTACTGATGTTATGCCTGTCTGTATGTATTTCCTTTATCATCATCTGTAATACACTTCAGGTTTGCTTTGGCTGTGAAATGTGCTACATAAATACATTGTTTTAATCTTGCCTCTGCTTGAATAATAAGTGATTTACTCCACATTACTCTATATAACATGAGGTGATATTTTATACTACAATTAGCATTAAACAATATAAAACATGTCAACATGAGATACCCACCGGCCACCACACCATACTCCTCCCTGCAAGGAAGAAACCACCGACTGTGGCTCGGTTGGTGCGGATCATAGCCTGCAACAGAAGAAGAACATTTAAAAAATCCTTAAAACAGCACAAAACAGCAACAGACTCTATTTTTCAGTTCTATTTGTTAATGATTACGTTGTGTGTTATGTACAGCTGTTAAAAGTCTGAGACCTGAGTCTGCTGTTGATTTGATTTGTCTTTTAAAAAATAATGAATTAAATGTTTAAAATAAACCGTGAAATATAAATCTTGCTTTGCTCTTCATTAATCTATCTATAAATATGCATTCTGAAATTAAAATGTACTCTGATCGGCAATACAATTACACTGCTGTGATTGCACAATATGAACCAGATTACATATCATTTACTCTTAAATGCTGCTGTAAAGGTCTCTGCTGGTTAGAGGCCTAAAACCTCTTCTTTCAGAATGCAAATAAATATATTCTTGAATTCTCCAACATGTAACAAACATTTATAAATATATTTATATTTTCTCTTGTGGCTTAATAACGACATATTTATTCTTATTTAAGTAAAGCAACTCTCACAACTATAAAACTGTTGAAGTGTTTCGTATTCACAGAGAAGAAGGATTTAAAGGGCAACTGAAATGAACTCACCCATACTCCAACAACCATCACAACCACAAAGTAAATCACAATAACGGAGATATCTGCAGCATTGTTAAGAGCCACGCCGGCCGTGCCATTTCTCGCATTGCTCCTCATTAAGGAGAACCCAAAATAATCCTTAGACATTTTGCTGAGAGGCTGACCAGAGAACAGGACTGTTGTTGGAGTCGCTCCTCTTTGACTGAATCACCTGCACAGACACTTATGTACCTTTGGCTGAGGTGTGTGTGTGTGATAGAGAGAGAGAGAGAGCGAAAGAAAGACAGTGTGTGTAAGAAAGATAAAGGGGTGGTAGTGGTAGAGTTTGCTTATCTAATAAATGACCAGATAGTGTATTTAGTTAAAATCTAGATGCTCTGATTAACCTTGCTGATACATGGCAGGGGTTTGTAGAAAAAAACATGTTTCACCTTTCAGCAAACAAAAAGTTTTGTCAATGATCAACCCACAAGGAAATACCACAAGTAAAGAAACAAGTGTTTTTGTTAGACAACGGACCACATGAGCACTGCACTTATATTCAGTTCAATTTAAATGGACACAATGGCAAATATAACACCATAGCCAAAGCTCTATATTACAATTTAGAAGATTTAATTTCTTTTTAAAAGATAGAAAAATAACAAATTGAACCATCCAACAGTATATAAAGTAGTTAAAATGTACTCCACCAGCGATACGTTTAAAAAGCTTCTTAAGTGATTAAGCATCGGAAATAAAATTACACCATTTATGATATTAAATAATTGTATTCTGAAAGGGACCATTTGCCTATATATCTTTAGCTGTTTATACATTTGTGCTATAAGTGAAATATCTGATGTATGAATTTGACTACACTGATAGAGCTCCACTTACTTACACTTAAAAAGACACGAGTACTTTTTCCAAACTGCTTCCTCCTGAAGGAAATAAGATTTATCTGGTTAACACATTTAAGCTCTTTCCGACTTCTCACTGCCCCTTCAGACTGACTTTGAAACCTCTGTTAATAAGTAAAACAGGAAAATCCTATATATGTGTTGAGTAGCCTAACCAAGCAAACGTTTGCTATTTATTTAACTAACACTAGCAAGAGTAATCCAGGGAGAGGCATAAATGACTTGAACACTTTAGAATATAAATGTTAAGGTTTATTTAGTTTAATATTTGATTTAGAGCAAGACATTTATTTTTCTATGAACAAGGAAATATGTTCTCATTTACTGTAAGTCGCGTACAAAAGAGGACCTTAACCCTGCTTCCCACAGTGAATACTAAATATAACACTTTTCCCTTAAAGACATGATTGTTTATTTGTGTTAATTATTAGTCTAACAGATAATGTTTGAAGGAAGGAGCTAAGGAAATGACAAGTTTCTACAGTCATCATTTTATATATGTATGATCCCTGAAAAATAAAGGATCACTGAAAAATATGTAAGTATAAGTACTGTAAGAAGCCACTAGGTGTCTCTACACTGAAACTAACCTAGGGTTCAGCCAACTATGAGCTCATACAGATATTTAGGGGTACAGTATCGACTGTGGTATAAAATATATTTCTTTCAAAATGTTCGAGTATATAAACCCAAGTACTGTGCTTGGGTAAACTTTACGCATTATTATACTGCACTACCATTTCAAATACATATACAAAATAATAAAATAAAATGAAATCAACAGATACACAACTCGTGTGTTATGGTGGATTACTTCATCATATAATTTATATTCTGTAATAGGCCAGTCTACATAATGAGTACTCTAACTTTTGATACTTTAACCATTTACTATGTTGATGCAAATGTTGTATTATTATTCATTACAATTTTTAAATAATGCATCTTACTTTAAACAGTATTTGTACACTGATTTGTGCAACAGTTTCAACTCGCTAAAAGGGTTGAGTACTTCTCAAATCACAGTTGGTTCCTCACTCCTATGTTGTCCACATAGTCCACTCATGTTGTCTTTTTAAACCTTTTTGTGTGGACAGACTGCATGATTGACAGCTCCCATCCTGTTTTGTTACAGCATGATCATTACCTTATACAATGTAGTGACGTCACATTATCTCCAACAAAGCTCCACCCAGCTTCAACCTGACTGGAGGTGTAATCAGCCAGAAGGATTGAAAACACTTATGTTTGTGTGCACATGACCTTACATATTAACAAGAAATAGAGACATTTAATGTTTTTACCATGTGTGGATGTACCCGGGTGTCATGGGTGCTCACCCAGGGTTACAGCATACAGTGGATTGTGGCCTTGGCAAAAGGAAAATACAGCAAGCCAGCAATCTTGATATTTAAATGTAGGATTAACAAAGTGACTGTGATGTTAATGTTCACTGAGACAAATGTGGTTACAGGTTCAGCACCCAGAAAACACCAATTTGGTTTTAACCAAGCTGTATCTCTGTACATAACCTAAGTACCAATGACCATATAGTAAGTGCATCTTATCCTAATTATAACCTAATGTGATTAAGAGATCAATTAACTTACATAGCCTAAAGCAATAATCACCTAAAACCCATCAGTATGCACTCAGTAAGCAGTGATTGGATTATTGAAGGCTGTTTTATTCAATTGCATCAGGTGTACCTAGTCTTGCAGCTCTGTCTCTTCAAATCTGACTACATTTGATTTACTCTTGAATCCAGCTGTTACTGCCACAAAATCTAATTCAAACCACATTTTAAATACCAACCTACCTCCAACATCTGTGCACTCTCACCACTTTTGTCCCAGTGTTTTAGATGGCTTTGATTCAATGAATTGATGCTTGCTGCTTTATGTATTATTATAATGCTGACATCCATGTCCAAGGCTATAGTGTTCTGTCACAGCTGATGATATGGGGGAAGAAAGGAGAAAAAAGGAAAACAATTATTCCGGTTAATGCTATGGCATAAAGAAAAATTATAATTGTAATCTGCTAATGTGCTACAAAATAAAATAAAAGCGATTTATTGTACACACGATACTAAAATTAAAACATGTATTGTTTTAGATGTGTATAATAATAATGGGTAACAGGGAGCCAAAGCTATGCAATTGTGTGTTAATCTTCCACATCATAAAGGCTTAAGAAAGAAAAAAACTACATTACAGCAACCACCACAGGACTTCTTCAGAAAAGTAACACCCTGGATGGTGAGGAGAGGAAGAGATGTAAGGGAGTTATATAGGAGAGTTATCAGACTGCTGCTGTTACAAATGGCTGCTTGAAACCCCTACATGAGGACAATCAATATTAACTTCAATGAAAATCAATCACTGGAATGAGGCCAGTGCTCTGTGGGATTAAGGCTCGGTCACACTTGCTGATTTCAGTCCTGATATTAAACCCGAAAGCAGCCGTCAGACTGCTAACATCCACAGATAGGACAAGATTTTCTCAGCCTATTTGGATTTTTGTGTGGCCCAGTTTATTTATTATTATTTACTAACCCGTTTCCCAAGACAAAAATCTGATCATTAGAATTATTGTAAGTGTTTAAAACACACATCAGTATAGCAAGACCGCAAACAAGCACTGCAGATTAGTGCAATAAATTGATCTCTTGCAGGATCCATTCCCCGTAGTCTGCATAGTGTGGGAAAGTACATACTGTAGTTGCATTGGCAAACAGAGCAGTGAGTGTCCTGCGGTCAACACAGGCACACATTGCCAGTTATTATTTCATTAACATGGTTGGTGAGAGTTTCATATTGTGCTTTGTCCACATTTCCATCAAGTAAAACATTAGGAAACAAATATACTAAATAGACATGATCATTGAATGTAGCGACCTCTCTGGGGGTAAAGTGTCATTGCTTTGGTGTCGGGCATCCAATAAATGCAGTGGTCCCACATGTCATAGTTACACATTTCAATCAATCATTGGTATACAGCTAATCGATTACATAAACTAGGTTTTCAACAAAACCTGCTGTAAATATCTGGAAGAATCAAAAGGTGTCTGCATATCTGTTAACCTGCAGCTGGACATATGTATGATGCTAACAGAAGTCTGTTAAGGAACTCATCAATTTGTTTTGATAAATCTTACACACACAAAAACGACTAATAAAGATTGTAGTTTAAATAATAAATTAAAAAAATAAACTAAATAGCCTGTATTAATGAATATATTAACATCATGATTTGTCTTATCTACCCTACAGTAAATGCGGAATAAAGACGCTTGTGGCAGGGTTCAGTTGTTGGCCAACATATATTGATGCATTAGTTGAAGAGTGTAATCACAACAGCATCTCTGGGCACTGTTCCATATTCAGTATAAGAGGAACATTGTAGCCACAACCCATGACAAAGAATGCAGGCCTTTCACCCAGGGAGCTGTTGATGCTATAAAGGATGTTAGACAAGGGTGAAAGAGGTGCTTCAAGGTGATCAGCTGGAACCTGAAGACAGTCCCTCTGCAGTCATTATAGGTGAGGCTCCCCTGTACGTCAAAACCACAATGCACCCTCTCTCTGATCACGCTGGGTTTTTGTGAGCAGAATTGTGGGAGCTGGAACGCTGGTGTCTATCGGCCCTTTTTCAGCTCCCAGGCATGTGCTGAGCCTAAGCTTTCTCTATCTGAGGGTTACCTACAGCCACTCACCCTTAACAGTGAGGGTAAGAGAAACTGGAGGAAACAACTTCTTAGATCTGGTGACTAGCCTTTTTGACTTGTCAAACACAGGTGTAAATAGTAAAGTTGTCAATTGCTGAAAATTAGAAATTGTTGGAAATAAGTCATCAATAATGTTATTGGCCTTTCCTGCCATGAAACTTAAGTGCAGGATGTACAGCACACAGTCAAATCCAAACAAAAAAACAGTCTTGCTTTAGGTTATTAGCCAATATTGCAGGAGAACCGTGTATCTTTTGTGTGTAAAAAAAACCTCAAGGTTCAACATGCACTATTCATTTGCACAACAGCAACTATAAGGATATGTTAGCCACAAGGTGGCACTTTGGCACAACCCTGAATAAATGGTGCATCACTGTGACGCCAGCAAAAAAAAAAAAAAGAGCTGTTGCTGCACAAAATAGATTAGCCTACATAACAAAAATGCTCATAGATTGGACATTTTAAATCAACTATCCTGCATTTTGTATGTTTAAATGTAGGTCAGAGGTCATCTT